CCCCAAAACCCCAAAACCCCAAAACCCCAAAACCCCTGAGTTAAAAATAAAATAGAAATTATATAAAACATATTTTAGGATAAAATGATTACTAACCAACAAGAGAGCCCCGAAGCTGAGTAAGAAGCACAGATAGTTTGTGCAGTAGAATAATCGGATTATTTGACCTTATAAAAGTTGATTTAGCATATTTTTGGTATAGAAATTTACAAGCTGCATTGCCATTTGATAAAACAGGCTCAACAGTAAAGAATTGAGAGTAATCTATAGTTCACTCAATCACTGAATGGGTTCACAGAGGCTCAATCTTCGAATACATTAAGGAATAGTGTTTCTCCAATCAGCTTTCCAAAAGCTAAAAGGTAGAAAGTTTCATGTGATGTATAGATTTCACAATCCTGTTCCTCCTGGCGCAAGCGTACCTTTTTATGATACAACCAGAAAATATGATAGGAAGAAAGGTGCAGGATTTGGGTATGGGAAGAAGGTGAACCCTATTCAGAAGACATATTCTCCAGGTCCAGGAAGGTATGACAATCCTCCTATTCTGTATTCATCTCCCTACAAAGATAAAAGCTACAAAAAGGGGAAGTTTGGGTGAGGATACGACCGGTTCCAACTTGTAAAATCTTTGTAATAATGTTCTAGACTTGTGATATTAATAAAGGAATCAAGATTTATGATAATAGAGATAAACCAGGGCCTAATTCATACACTCCAAGCAATAAATTTGCAACTAAGAAGTATCCACAATATTCAATGGGAAAGAAATTACCAGGAAAGATAGAGAGACTTGAGAAGAATTCTGGCTTACCTAGTCCTTTCCATTATAAAGTTAAGCCAGAGTCAGTTCTACCCTCAAGGCATAAGAAAGTTGGTTTTGGGTAAGTACATACAACCTAAGTTTCTGAGAATCAAATCATTCTAGTGAAATTTTTATAAATATAAGTTTGAACAGTGTGCTGCAATCATCTTTGCATTTAAATTATCAAAGCTAGGGTGATGGACATTTTTAAGCTTCCTCCAATACACTTCAGACAATCTCTCGATGTCAAGCTGTATTAACAATTCTCGCAAGATTAAGGGATCTTTTGAGCATTTTTATAGTTTAGTTTTCCACCAAAATCTCTAACGATTATAGCTACGGAGAGAAGAGTAATAAATAAGGATAGAAAGTTATCCCCAGGACCAGGAGATTACAACCTCTCATCCTTCACTGACAAATTTAAGCCTTCAATGTTAAGTATGGCTAGAAAGAGACATAATGGGAGAGTGAATAAAAGTATCCAGCCTTCCCCCAGAGATTGCAGTCTTGCCAAGCCTCTCACTGGAGGAGTGTTCGATCCAATGGGAGTTGTGACAAAGAAGGAAACTATAGGCTTTAACTATCCACCTTTGAAGCAAAGTGATTATTTCAAGAACGCAAATATGCTTTTCTATAAAACCGATGGATTTCACACAGGAAAGAGAAGTGGGAAAATAGCAGATACCAAAAGAATGTCAGCTGCTCATGCAGGAATGAACTCAAATAATATCCCAGAAATGAATACCCACAGCAATAGAAGCTCGTCAAGCAATTAGAATTAATGAGTTCAATTGGACAAGGATAGATAGGGGTTTTGGGGTTTTGGGGTTTTGGGGTTTTGGGGTTTTGGGG